ATTGTTGGTCGTCAAATACTGTTGTCCAATTTGTACCTTAGGTTAGCTAATTAACAGTTGCATTACAACCAGTGGTCCAAAGAAGCCTCTGCTTTCATAATATCTGAAAATTCTACTAAGGCTTACGTCATTTTGATGAGCTTTGTAGGCCTCATTGGTGCAGGGATGGTCAGCTTGACATTTTCACGTCCCATGGAGATCTTGGCACTGAGCCCACTCTCATGGAAAATGTTGGTGTGCATCTCTAATCCAGAATTGACATATTCAGGGATGTGGGAGCCAACCTGAGTTACAAACTCAATGCCAGCGGAGGGCATGAAGGTAACTTCGCTCTGTTTAGAAACATGGAGAAACGTCAACAGTTGTGTTGATGCTGCGCAACAGAAAATTTATAGGTAGTATTTAAACACATTTATGGATAATTACCATGTCACGAGCAATCTTAATTCCACCCTTGATACCAGGGGTGAAAGTACCAGACAGTGCAATCCTCAGAGGAACACCAGTTACAGTAGGCAGGAAGAATTCATTGTCCATGAAGATGTAATGGGCAAAGATTGTGTTGTCAGCATTAGTCATCAAAGCCTTCATTAGCTGTGACAGGAAAAAAACATAAAACACGGATGTAACTCAATAATAAACAATAATAAATGACTAAATATGTCAAACATTTGTAAAGAAAATAACTGGATTTTACTTACATCACTAGGGAACATCTTGAACATGCTGTCAATCATCATGGCAGCAGAGTACGCCATCTCCTCCATTTCATTGCTCCTCAGATATCCCAGCTCATTTCCCAGAAGTCTCAGATAAACCATTGCCTCAGGAGACTGTGCAGCATTCAGTTCCCTCACCAGTTTGTTGAGGTTGCGTCCAATCTCCCTCATCAAGTTCTGGGATGCCTATGCATATAAATGTCCATACTGTGTTACTAAATTCATGTCCATTTGTAAAAATCCAGCCTCATGATTACAAAGTAAGATATTTAATCCATGTAAAATATGCAAAACAGATTTATCTGAATACCTGTCTCTTCATCCTGTCCTTCTTCATAGCAGGCAGCATATTCTGCAGGATCTCATTGACTCTGAGTGGCATGTTATCAGAGACAAAGTACATTGTCTTCAGGGCAGTGTCAGGGAAGAAGCCATTCTCTCCAAACAGGGCCTCAACAGTTGGCTCAAATCCTTTGCCCTCCATACCGATCTGTGAAGGTAATCATTTTTTCAGTAACAACTAAATTTAAAAATGGTTTCAAAGCACAATTTGGATTACTTATCTCAGAATGTTTACCTCCATCATGTCAATTTCATAGCCAAATGCTTTCAGAGTCATTTCAAGCATGAGCTCCTTGGGCAGATAGCTGGTACCCTCAAATATCATGTTGCCTTCTACAGATCCAGTCTTGTAGTTGCGAGAGAACTTGATGGGGTCCATAATGGGCCCAATCTCATTACCCTGCAGGGCCTCATGAATCCTCTGTCTCAGTCTGTGGGAAAGCCAAAAAA